TGGGAACTGCTGTCAGCATTGTTGCCTGCAAAACTTGCACTTGCTTCTCCTCCCTCCCCCAGCTTATAGATAGTTATTTGCTAATGGCAACAGTCCAGTTTGTAGGAATGCATTGCTGGGATGCTGTACTTTTCCAATTGTTTTCACAGGAATAGTATCTGTACTTGAGGCTTTTGCTGAGCTTTTTTTTCTTATCTTCCTTTTTTCAGAGTATGCATGAGGTTTCATATATATATATATATATATATAGGTGAGAATGACCTGAGGGGACAGAACCTGTTGTGACCCAGTACAGGTCATGGGGGGTGTATCTCAATTTTTGGTCCTGACAGCAGAGTGAAATACCTTGAACCCACTTTGAGAAGAGGGCAGCTCTGGTGAATGTTTAGTGTCCTGATTTGTTGCCAGGTTTTCACAGAATCCCAGAGTGGTTTGGGTTGGAAGGGACCTTAAAGCCCATCTTGTTCCAGCCCCCTGCCATGGGCAGGGTCACCTTCCAGTAGACCAGGTTGCTCCTAACCCCGTCCAACCTGGCCTGGAACACTTCCATGAGTGATGTAAAACTCCCAGGTTCTCATTGTTCCCTCTGGGGCTGGGTGATGTTCTGCCAAAGGACTCCGTGGTGGTGGATGGTGTTTACCACAAGCACTTCAATCTCTGAATGCCTGAAAGAGTTCAGGATGGCAGGAAAGGAGACCAGCGTTGTGAAAGGATTATCAGAAGGTTGCTTGTTTCTTGGAGAAATCCATCTTCTGTTATTGTTACCTGTGCACCAACCAACAAGGGATTGTAACTTCTTTATCTGCATCATTCACCCTTTCTTGGGAGATGTTTCTCTGTACAATATCTTCTTTTCTTTTCCTCTGGCCCGGGTTCTCTAGCAGATTTGCTCTTGTGTTCCTGGCTTACCAGCCTGTATATCCAGCCTTCCTATTGCCCTGGTTTGAATCTTCCCCTCTATTAGTATTTTATTGAAGCTCCTTTTGCCTTGAGATGTTGGTCAGTGGTTGGGATCCACCTTTGTGTTGCACTGTCCCGATCGAAAGAGCTGACAGAGAAAAATAGGTGTTTTCTTGAAAATAGGCAGAATGAAGTGGGAGCTGGGTTCATCATTCAGTTATCTGGTTTTTTTCGTAGCTAATACACCAACCAAGAGCCTGTAGCTCTCTCATAGCAGCAGGACACACTTATCTCTGTCTCTGGGAGCTCTAAACCTCTGCAGTGGTTCTGCTGACTCTCACATACACATCTCACACCATTTCCATTCTGCTCCTTGAACTTGCAGCCAGAATTCTGGTAAAAAATCTGTTCTGCTTTATAGGTGCCTTGAGCTTGACGTGGTGGCTGCTCTTATTTCATCTCTTTCTCAGGGAAAGCTCACTGCAAGGAAACACAGTGCACAGGGCCGTTCCTTTGAAGATCTGCTTGGATCCTGGGATATTTGCTTGAATTAATAGGATGACAGGGCACTGCACTTGAGCAAGCAGTGTGTGTTCCTTGAGAACGTAATTAAAAACGCTGTGGACTGTTTCCAGGCCGCCTCACCCCCTTTGGTGCCTGTGCCCTGCAGCTTGCTGTGCTCTGCAGTGGTTCTGCTTTGGAGAGCAGCGTGTTGCTGCTCTGCCTGTGCCCAGCCCAGCTCTGAGCTGCAGATGACTCTCCATCTCCTTCCAGTGCATTTGTTCTCTCTCTTCTTTCCAGCTCATTTAGCACACTCGGGTCTCTCAAAATCCAGTTTGTAAGCAAAGCAACGCATTGTAAAAACTGTAAAATCTGGCACTTCCCTAACCCTTCCCCCCACAGAAGAAATCAAACACACAAAGCCCCGAGCAGAGTCCTCCTGGGCCTGCATTGCCAGCAGGGATGGGGCTGCTGTGTGTGTTTGAGGCTCTGACAGCACGGGCACCTTCAGCACCTGGAACAGGCTGTAGCTGCTCCCCCGGAGAAACCAGCTCAGTGACTGTGCAGTGGCTCTGCTGACTTGACTCAGAAAATTCGGTTATCTCATGCTGTAAATGGCTTTGGGTGAGCTCCAGGAAGTGATGAATTGTGTAAATGGAAAGAACCCAAAAGTTGGTGATCGATAATGGCTGCAGCCCCGGCTGAGCCTCTCTGACCAGCAAAATGTGCTCTGCTGAAGTCCCTGTTACAGGTTGGATTTCCAGATTTGCTAATAATGCTCTAACATATTTGCATTTTTTTATAAATTCTTGGAGAACAGAGGAAAAAAGCCCAGGAGGATGAGGGGGTAACAGACCCAAAATGGTTTTTCTCTTGCCGTAACCACAGCAAAGCTGCAGCTGAACACTGAACCGAGGGAAATCCTGCAGCCTCCTGCAAACTGCCTGGGCTGCCCCTGCCACAGAGCCCTCCCCGTGCCTGGGGCTGACCTGTTCCCCACGGATTTGGCAAACCTTTTCTGAAGCTCCTTTGAAAACCTTTTTTGTCCGCTCCCACATCCGTGGCAGGAGCTCAGCATTGTTTCCTTTTGTGTGCAAAAGCATTTCAGCCACTGGAAGGTGGCCTGGTGTTGCTGCTCAGATCCTGGGACGAGCACAGTGTGCTTGCTGCAGACCTGCCTGTGTGTGAGCCAAACTCCTCCTCGGGCAAAGGCAGGTCTCACCTTCCTCTTCTTACTCCCTTGTGTGTGCACAGCTCCTACACACCTGCAGCTCCTACATACCTGTGTCCTCACTGCAGAATAAATTCCACTAGATTTCAATTCCACTGATTCAAAGCCATTGCAGTAAACTGCCCACCTCGCACCATACTGAGCTGCACATTTACTGGGTTTATATGTTTCAGGAATTTATTTTATTTTTTTTACTACTGCTCTGAACTTCATTTGCAGTGTATTTTGCAAATGCCTTCTTCCTGTAGATGGCTTATTGATTCTGGCTGCTGGGCAAACAGCAGCGATTCTGCTTGTGTCAAAAGCTGCAGAAAATGCTTATTGTTTCCTTAATGTGCCATTTACCTGGGCAGTGCACACACTGCAGCAGGGAGAGCAGGAGAGCTCCTGCTCTGCAAAATTAGGAGTTGCACAGCTTTCATTCATCAAACAGCAGCTTTTTTTGTTCATGAAACAGCAAATTCTTGGGAGGTAATCATCCCTCTGAAGTGTAGGCGCTTCCCGTGTTGGCATATCCATCACAGCTCGTGTGTCTGTCTGGATAATCAATGGGAAGAAATGAGCTCCTCTGCAGTGCATCCACATGGGCTGTGCTGGAGGCTCCTCTGAAGGTGATAAATCACACCCTGGGAGTGCAGCTCTGCAGGCAGCTGCCAGGACAGGGTTCATGGAATTGTGGAATCTCCTGAGCTGGAAGGGACCCACAAGGATCATCAAGTCCAACTCCTGGTCCTGCACAGGACACCCCAATAATTCCACCGTGTCCCTGAGGGTGTTGTCCAAATGTTCCTTGAGCTCTGGCAGCCTTGGATCCTGTTCGAGGGCCACCCTCTGGGGGTTGAACCTTTTCCTAATATCCAGCTTAAACCTGCCCTGACACAGCTCCAGCTGTTCCCTTGGGTCCTGTCACTGGTCACAGAGAGCCAAAATCAGTGCCTGCTCCTCTAGGAATCTGCAGTGCATCACCCCCAGCACGGACCATCGATCCTGTGCACTCTCCTTGGCCTCTGGAGATCAGGGATGCTCAGGACAGAATTATCAGGTCAAATCCTTACACCAGTTTCAGGTGAGAAGACTCTCACTGAGTGCCCCACAGCACTAGGAGGAGTGTGGGATGGCTGGCTCCCATGGATTTACCTCCCAAAAGCTGAGGAAGCCCCGTGAAGGTCGAAGGTCAGGCAGATGATTTTAGAAGGTCGAAGGTCAGGCAGATGATTTTAGAATGATCCGAGTTTCCTGGTTCTCTGTGGTTTTGTCACAGTGCAGCAGCTTAGTGAACTTTCTAATAAATCTCTTAACATACCGGATCGTGTGCAAATCCTCTCCAGCCCATTATCTTTTCCGTGAAGGTGGTCTTAGTGGAGAACCAGGAAGAGAGTCCAAGGACAAAGTCAGCCTGTTCTGTGATAGACCTTCATCCCTCACTTTGCTCATTGATTGCCCTTTGAACACATCCAGGTCTCTGGTACACTGTTAACCTCTGGCAGTGATAGAACTGCAAAGAACATTCCAGCACCCTTATCCTTGTACAGTGGGACAGCGTGAATAATCATTCCCTACTAACCAGGCTGAGGAGTCCAATTTAATTAATCGTTCCTAAGACTGAAACCTCTTTTTATGTGATTATGGAAATCACTGCTGTGCACTCCCTGACTGTGGGAGCACTGCCCAATTCCTCACCAGGTCCTCCCAGAGAATGCCAGGGCAGAGGGTACAGTCTGTGTATTTTCATGTGAATAATTCTCTCGAATTCTGCCCGGTTTAATGAAATCCAGTGGTGCCCCGCTCTGTGTTTTAACCGTGGGGTTTTCAGTGTTAAGGAGCTCGGTTTACACAGAGTGTGAAGGTCACTTCTTTAATTCCATGCCTTTTTTCGAGGTTTCTGCCTGTAGTTCAGCCGGTTCCTGGTGTGATGGGTTTCATATTGATGAAGCCAGCAGATTGCAGGAATATGATCAGGACTATAATGACAGGAAGGAGGGTCTGAGGAATGTGCCAGTGCAGGATTTCTGTTCTGAGATCTTTATCTGAGCCAGAGGGGGTGGTGGGGTGGGGGAGTTGTTTTCTGTAATGTTGCAATGACGTGGAATGGAGCAAATAATGTACTAAAAGGTGCACTTTTTTAACAGAGCATGTCCAGCACTGTCAAGGGTTTATGTAGGGGCTCTGGGGAGAGGGAGCTGTGAGCATGGGTGTCTCTCGTGCTCATGGGGGAGTTGTCCCAAAGCAGCAGCAGTAGTAGATGGAGCTAAAATTGGTTTCTGTACATAAGAAAGAGAATAATAGCTCAGGAGTCTGAAGGGAGAAGAAAACAGAGCATCTGCTTTTACTTTAACCTCTTCTGCCCCTTTTCTCTTTTTTTTTCCAGGTCATATCTGACTCCGGTGCGGGATGAGGAAGCGGAATCACTGCGGAAGGCACGGTCCAGGCAGGCCCGGCAGACTCGCAGATCTACCCAGGTAAAGAATGGAAATCCTCACATTCATGTGTTGGATGAAGAGAGCTGATGAATTGGTTTCCCCAGAGAAGCTGTGGCTGCCCCATCCCTGCAAGTGTTCAAGGCCAGGTTGGATGGGACTTGGAGCAACCTGGGCTAATGGAAGGTGTCCCTGCCCACGGCAGGGAGTGGAATGAGATGAGCTTTAAGGTCCCTTCCAACCCAAACCAGTCTGGGATTCTATGAAGAGGCTGGATTTTCTTCTTCCCTTACTTTATTTCTTAGGACAAGGAGTTTGTCTGCACTCACACTGTTTTGGAGACGTTCTGGCCAAAGTTCCTTCAGACAGTTAATACAAAACCCTCCCCCAAACATACATGAGTTGGATTTTCAAGCTTCCCTTTCTGCACTGTACCTGCCTTTTAGTTTGCAGTGTGAGCACATGTATTAGGATTGCTTTGAGTCAGTGATAGGTCAGTACACTGAGAAATACATTAAAGGCAAGAGAATTCTTCCCTTTCTCTTACCATTAGGGATGAAACTTGAGCCTGGCCAGGTGGGAGCCTGCTGCATTTAAAACTGACCTGGAAGACTTGAAATCTAATTTCAACATGGAAAAGAGAAGGCTTTGGGGAAACATTAGAGCCTCTTCCAGTGCCTAAAGGGGCTCCAAGAGAACTGGAGAGGGACTCTGGACAAGGAATGGAGTGACAGGACAAGGGTGAATGGCTTCCCACTGCCAGAGGGCAGGGTTAGATGGGATATTGGGAAGGAATTCTTCCCTGTGAGGGTGGTGAGGTGCTGGCACAGGTTGCCCAGAGCAGCTGTGGCTGCCCCATCCCTGGAAGTGCTCAAGGCCAGGTTGGACAGAGCTTGGATCAACCTGGTCTAATGGAAGGTGCCCTGCCTATAGAAGGGGGGTGGAATGAGAAGGGCTTTCAGATCCAACCCAAAGCAGTCTGGGATTCTATGCATGAATTTAAGAATTCTCCTTTACTTCGTGTGCAGGGTGTGACCCTGACAGACCTTCAGGAGGCCGAGCGGACCTTCAGCCGGTCGCGGGCGGAGCGACAGGCCCAGGAGCAGCAGAGCGAGAAAGCCGAGGGCACCGAGCTTGAGGAGAGCGGCGAGAGGCCGGAGAGCCGGGCACGGTGGAGCAGGAGTACGGATGAGGAGGTGATCCTTCTGCCTCAGTGCTCATTGCTTCAGAGCTAATGAAACCATTGAGGAATTCTCCTGGGGGTATCTTTTCGTTTTAAGGGGGGTGGGGGGCAGACTTGCTGGAAAGAAGCAGTGCTGAGGAGCAGCACCTGCACGAGGGAGGTGGATCTGGAGGTGCTGGAGCTTAGCTGTGCCTTGGCTCTCCACTGGGAATTTCAGCTTTCTGCCTCTTGCCAGAAAGTAAGACTCTGTAAATCCCAGAAAGTGGAATGAGAAGGCTAATGATAGAAATGTGGCCTGGATCCATCCTCGCTGTGCAGTCTGGGCTGAGGCTTTGTGTTCACATTTTTCAGCAGATATTCCGATGTGTAATGGAAAGCTGGAGAGACCAGTCCTCTTCCCCTGCCATCACCTCTGGTTTTTCACTCTAAATCATTTATTTCTGTTAGATACCTTGTTTGTCCTGCCATTGGCTGTGGGGACAAAGGGGTTGATCCCAGATCTCCCAGCCCTGGACAGCACTCTCACACTGTAGCTGTACTTATTTATTTATTTTAACATCCATCCCTGTCTGATGGAATGAACCCTATCTGGCAGATGCAGGTGATCATTTCCAGCAACAGGGAAGAAAACATTGCACTCTGAAAGGTTACTACATTCCCTGAAATCCCAGATCTGCTGGTTCCTCTTCATTCTACTGACTTTCTGTCCTGGCTCTGTGTTTATAGTCAGTCTGCCGGCGACTGAGGTGCCCAGCACAGCCCGACAAACCCACGACACCTGTATCTCCTTCGACAGCAGCACCTCTGCTCTACACGAGTTCATACCTGACTAGAACAAATAAATATCTAGGCCTGGACTCTGTGAACCCAGCAGACTTCAGAGGGGCAGCCACAGAGATGGAGAAAAACGGTACGTACCAGGAGAGCGAGGAGCAGGCAGAGCTCAGGGGGTTTGTGTGGTTTAGAACTTTCAGTGTGTACAGACAGAGAGAACAAGTTTACTTGTTACTCTGAGGGGAGATGCCACCTCCACAAAACCAATGTTATTTGTTTAAATGGAGTTAAACAAATTCCTATTGCTTGTAACAGAGGGATAAAAGGATGTCTTCCACTTTGGATAAATAAATGAAACAGTGACCCACGGATCATTTGGATATTAGAGCTGGGGGAAGAGGTTCCTTTAGTACAGCTTGTCCTCACAAAAGGAGTAAGTCGAGATGACCTGGGGAGAGCTTCCAGCTGGGGTAAGCTCTGTCTCTGATGAGGGAAGGAGTGTGAGTATCCAGCTGTAGGAGGACACATTTGGTTTAATAACTGCTTTGTAATGTAACACAAGCCAAGATGACCTTGATCAGCTTGAAAAGAACCCCAGAACCTTAGCAAAAAGCACAGATGTAAATCACTGAAACCAAAGCAGTCTTTCTTTGCTTGGCCAGAGTGTGAAGATCAGGATTCAGACGACAGATCCCTGAACAAACAGTCAATCCGAGAGCGGCGGCGGCCGAAAGAGAGACGGAGAGGCACCGGCATCATTTTCTCGACAAAAGATGTAAGTTTGAGTCCCTTAGAAAGAGAAACTCATTCTGTAATTCATCCAGGATGAATTTTTTTCCGATTCCAAGCTTCAGGTTTTTTTCTCAGTCAGTTGATTTTCCTTTAGTCCTTCCCTCTCCAGCTCTGTTTCAGACTGGCACATCCAAAGTGGTGCATCCCTGTTTGGCCCATGTCACACCAAGCAGCGGGCTCTGGGCAGCCTGTTCCTGAGCCACAAATCAGTGGGAACCCTGCAGGACTGTGGAAGGGCCCACATGGGAGAGGAGAAATCAGAAGTCTTAATTCCTTTGGAAGAAGGAGGTCACAAGCCACTTGAAGTATTTTCAAATTCCTCTGAGCCCAAATTTGTCTGCTCTTTAGGCCCCATGAAATGAAGACACTGAGGAACAAAACCAGGGTCTGGGTCCTCTCCCAGCAGCAGGGAACACTCACAGCATAAGTGCAGGAGAGAGCTGTCTGTGTCATGGTCATTTCTGTTGGTCCTGGTTTCAGAGGATTTCTTCACTCTGAGGGAAGAAATCTAGCCCTCCAAACTTTGGTTAGAGCCTCAGCTAGGAAAATTCAGGAGAGAGTAAGGATTATGAAATCATGGTTAACGAGTTTAGTCTGAAGTCAGCTGGGATGCTGTGGTAGTTTCCCATTGCTCCGTGAAATCCCAAAGCTGTTACAAGGAGGCAGTGGCTAATTGAGAGGCTGCACAAGTGCAGGATATCTGGGATGATGAGTCTCTTCTCCTGGGATCTAATCGAAGTGATGTTCTTTGAAAGTCAGCATTGTGTCAGTATTTTAGATGAGCAGTCTTCCCAAGTGTCATGTTTGTTCCCTGAGTGTATTAAGGAGCTGTTGTTTTTCCTCCTCCTGACTCTTCAGGAGCATTGAAATGGCAGGAGCCATCAGAGAGAGTCATTCTGTTCTCAGTACAAAGATCTTCTAAATAGTCATTAGGTCACCAAACCTGATCTGATAATCAGCCAAAAACATCTGGACAGGCATTTCTTTTGAGACTTCTTCTTATCTTTAACATCAGATCATTTCTTCACTGGAAGGGTGGTCAGACACTGGCACAGGCTGCCCAGAGCAGTGGTGGAGTCACCATCCCTGGAAGGGTTCTAAACACAAGTTTTCATGGCACTTTGTGATATGGTTTAGTTGACATGATGTCAAAGGTTGGACTTGATGATCTCGGAGGTCTTTTCCAACCTTAACAATTCTGTGGTTCTGTAAACAATAAAATTATCACCCTGTGATAAAGTTTTGTTGTCTCCAAAGCTGCCTAATTATATTGTTTGCTTTTCATCCTAGGATGATGATGAAGTTGATGGAAACGAGGATGTGAAGGAAACTCGGGTAAGTGAGACCATGTCTAAACCGTTGGTGTTTCACTTTTGGGTGTTGGTGGCAAGAAATCTTCTGTGGCTTTACTCTTGTCCATGGGAGAGGTTCAGCCTCTGCTCAGTAGCTGAGTACGAACAGGGAGACACTTCCAAGTAGCAAATTCTTTATTGATTTCTCTTCTGAAAGGTAAAAAATACCTGCAGAACTGGCCTAAGTTCAGAGTTGGCTCTTGGAGAGCTGCATGGGCAGTTCTGGAGCCTGGAGGGAGTGCAGCAGAGCAGGGCTGAGCAAGAGCCTCACGGAGCTGTCGGGCCACAGTGCTGGCAGAGCGTGGCCACCAGGTGTCCTGGGCAAGACCTGTGCCCTTGGATCTCAGAATCACCCTGACACTGTTATTTTGGACAATATGTTTTGTGTTTCTGAAATCTGCCCTTCTGTCTCCTCACGGATTTGATTTCTTGTGGGAAATTGTCTTCACAAGCAGCATGTCAGAGGTTGTTCCATGTTCCCCTGTTCTTGCAATAGTCTCATCCTTCGAGGCCCTTACTTTTTTAATAATTACTGAGTCTTTCTGAATTGCCTTGGTTTCCTTTGGTTTTGTCTGTCTCTGTATGAAACACACTGGAGCCTGACAACATGACTGACTGTGACAATGTCAAAGCTAAAGACATTTCCAGGCTATTAAAGCACAATGTGCAAGACCTGGGAGAAGCAGCAAACACAAGGTTGTGTAGGGGTCAGCCTACTTGTGTGATGTTTCATTTTTGCTGGAAAACACCAAACTTGGGATAGCCTTTCCCTATAGTTTGTGATGCAAACTATAAAAGTGATATATATAAAGTGATTGAAGCATCATTTAGTTGAAATTAACTGGTTCAGTGCTGAAAATTGGCAGTAACGCTCTGCAGACTCTTATTTTTGTTTTTCTTATTACAATAGTTGGTCAGAATGCAGCAAAGTCACGGCCAGCCTTGCTGGGACCAGAGACTCACGTGGTGCTGGGATGGCTTTTAGCATGTGCTTATCTTTCCGTGCCAGGCATTGCTTTCCCAGTGCTTACTTTGCAGTGTGAAATGTGGGATATTCCTGCTCACAGAAGCATCACCTGCTTTGAGGAGCCCAGCTCTTCCCACAGGAGTTTCTGCTCATCACAGAGCAGAGCTTCTTGGAATCCTCACTGAGCCCTGCAGGAAAGATTTGGCCATTTATCATCGTTACAATTGCTTTGACACTTCTGCTGTCTCACAGTAGGGTTGGAGGAGGGGAGTTTTGTAATGTGTAAAAAAGTAATAATCGTAATAGGGACACCTTGTTTCCAGCAGGAATGTTTGGGACTTGCTGGGAATGACTTGTTCTTCTGGGAAGTTGTCCCAGACTAGCTAAATTAAGACAAAAGGCTGTCTGAGGCTGCAGGTTTGGAGGCTTCCTACAGTCTAGTCCTAAAATTGCTGAAGATTTAATTGAGCACAGTCCTCACTGCTCATGTCAATGGATAAGCTGCACTTTGGGAGAACCCACCTGCACAAAAATTCAAGGTCACCCAATCTCTTATAGTTACTGCTGGTTTTCTCCAAATTAACAGCAAGGATTCCTTTTCTTGTGCTTCCTGTGGTTTTCTTGTGGGTTCTCATTGAACAGCAGAGCAACTTCCCTTCAGTTCCCTCAGCCCCTTTGTGCAGGTGCTTTGGGGCAGCAGCACCCTGTTTTCTTACACACCCCACATACATTAGACCTGGGTTAGACTCTCCTCCCACTGTGCCAGACCTGTTTTTTCCATTTTCCCAGTCATCCTGTTTTTATCCAGTTTGGAGTTCATTTTCTTTGCTGCATGCCTCCAGCATCGTGTCACTTGGTCAGTCTTCCCTGGCTCGTTTTAGATCCAAATCAGAGGTTTCCATCCTAACTGGCCATCGCTTTGGCAGGATTCACAGAGCAGCTCTTTTCTTTTAGTTCTAGTGCCAAGGGAAAAGTACAATTAATAATCATTAATAATCAATAGCAATAATTCTAGAATGGAAGGTGCCACCATGTCACCAAGATGTGAACTTGAACACACTGGAGTGTCCCATTTTAGTTGCAGATCCCCAAAAACTCTCTGGTTTTATGGGAGCAGTTGTATTTTTCCTCCAGTGTTTATATCTTGGCTGATATTGGAAGAGACCTGAGCTCAGAGAAAAGTTGGGGGCAAGTTTGGCCACAATGTTGTCTCTGTTTCTCAGAAAGTAAAAACTGGGAGAGTCTGAGAGGTCCTGTTAGACCCAGACTGAGCCAGGGGGAGAGAGTGGTGTTGGGAAAGCTTCCCTGTTCCCTCAAGCCAATGACTGCAGGAATTCCATCTTGGTGAGGCCAGCGAGGACAAATACAACAGAGTCAGTGCAGATAGGGATCAGTGGCTCCAGTTTAGGATGCAGCAGTTGGAGGATGACAGTGAAGACTAAAGAGAATGGTCCAGTGTTCCGTTTCAGAGCTGGTGTTTCCTTATTCCCAGCTCTCCTGGCTTTGACTTGATCCTGACTTAGAATGATGGAATCTGTTACAGACTGGCTTGGGTTGGAAGGGACCTTAAAGCTCATCCCGTTCCACCCCCTGCCACAAGCAGGGACACCTTCACTGGCCCAGGTTGCTCCAAGCCCTGTCCAACTTGGCCTGGAACACTTCCAGGGATGAGGCAGCCACAGCTTCTCTGGGCAACCTGTGCCATTGCTGTTGTACAGCAGGAGAAATTGGGAACAAATTTGGAAGAAAAGTGTATTTTAGATGACAGACCATGCAGAACAAATAGAAAATGTTGGTAATCATTTGAAGGATTTTATCTCCTTGCAGTTCTCTGCAGGGGCATTACAGACACGCCTCATCCAGAGGGACTTTGTCAAAGGAAAGCTTCAAATTCAGAGGAAGACATCGAGTATTGTGTTAGTAAAATAACAGTTTACAGGCAGTAAAAGTGTCAAAGAAAATGTCTGTTGTCATGAACTGCCTCCAGGACAGTCTGTATACAGCCCAGTATAAACCCCAGACACGTTAATGGAATTAACTTTTATGCAAGAATAACACTGAACCGCTTGATTGTGGATTACGATCGCAGTAAGTGGATTAAATAGGCTCCATTCCTGTCTCTCTGTGCTTTGATTTATGGAATGAGTGTTTTACATTCTGCAAAGCACCACTCAGGCCCACTCTGGTTTGTAAATAAGTGTTCTGCCTAATTGTACTATTAGCATGAAATCACCAGATGCAACTGGATACCAATATAAACTGAATCTCTGTCTTAGAAGGGCTGAATTTCTAAGCTTGGTTCCATGAGTTCTAAGGGAAGACCAGTGAACAGGAGAATTCCTTATACAAACTAAATGTCTTGATGTTATTACTCATTCAGAGCTATGATTTGGGAGTCCCTGATTTTGGTGTGTCCTATTTCTCACCTGTATTTTTGCTTTTAGTGCCATTTTATCCTTCCACGGAGGCTTCAGTTTAGCTTTTGTCATCCTGCTGTTTGCCTTTTTGTAAAAGATGGGTTTGATGAATGACTAGAAGAGCGGGAATAGCTTTTGTTATAAGTGTTTTGTGACTTGCCTGTCGTAGCCAGGCTGGCTGTACTGGGAGTCCCCAGGAGTTACTGCCCCCTTTCCCAGTGTTGTGCAGGCTCACCCTGTGCCTGCAGACTGTGTTTGGAAGCCAGGGAAGGCTCCGAGTCCTCCACTTTTGGGACTCACATTGCCTAATATGGTAAGGTATGTCTGCATGGGCTGCACTGTTTTGCTGGGATACAAGGGAAAGCTGACCAGTAAAAGGGAACAAAATAGGTGAACTCCTGGCTGGCTGATAAGAAACTTGAATCCTTTAATCCAGGCAGCGCTGTACGGTGGTGTTCATGCTGTGCCTCATTGCTGCTGGCCCAGGGTCCCTTCTGGGGATTAAAGATACGAGTATTTTCCCCTGGTTTTACCCTTGAGTGTTTACTTCTAGCAGGGATGTGGTGTGACGTGGGAGGGAAACCATCTGGCCCCGGTCCAAGGGCACGTAGGTGGCACCGCGCGTCACTCGCGGGGTGTAGTCAAATCAGAGAGCGTTTCATTCCGGGTAACGTAAAGCTGGGAGATCGGCTCTGCTTAGTCCTGTTTATAAACAAAATGCTCTAATGGGCTGTGTGTGCTGCGAGGAAAGGTCTTTAATACATGTGAACAGCAGTAGAAAACAGCAGCAAAGTGCTGCAGGAGCACGAGCTGGTGCCGTGCCACAGAGCATGAACACGGTGAAGAACAGCCTGACGGTGTTCAGAGTGCTCTGGCTTCCCTGGGAGGTGGAGGGCTCAGGCACCAGAGAAATCAAAATTTATTCTGCAAATGTTTCTGCACAAATAGTTCCCATCTGCACGGAGGATTTGCCTCGTGAGTTCTCCAGCCTGACATGCTTGTGTTGGATTTTCTTAACCTTAATGTGTGGAGAAGGGCATCAGCCTGGCTGGCTGCTCTCCCTGTTGATGCAGCACTTTACTCCTCAGCCTGGCTCTGAGCTCCTGTTTACAGCTCTGGGAAAACATATTGTTTGTGCCTAAAGCCAAGTGATCCAAGTGGGTTATGTGCACTACAGGGTTACAGCTAAATGCCTTCAGGTGAATTCCTCTAATTCACCAAGTTGCTGAATTAGGAAGGTGTAATGTGAAGCAGTGGCTGTGATGGGGATGGGGATGAGTAACACAAAACCAGCTAAAATCCGATCTGTGAGTCCCGGGAAGATGAAGCAAAGCAGTGAGTCCTCCAGGAATGATCTCCAAGGTCACAGACTCATAACTATTTAAGGTAACTTTATGCTTTAGCATCTTGTTTAGTAGATTAGTGTCAGAATTTTGGTGTAGTCTGAGGTGACCGATCTTTCTCAGTTGTCAGCAAGTCCTTTCCCCTGCAGCCGTGGAGCCGGGGTTGGCACTGCAGCACCCACCCACAGCTCCCTTGGCCTCTGCTGGCACTGCTGTGAGTTCAGATGATCCCAGTTCATCACTTTGCCTATATGGC